TTTATGATTATTTATTAGATTCCATCTTTTAGAATCCTCATATGGATTTTGGCTAAGAACTAGCATATTTAATTAAATAGATTCCAAAATGAGTTTATTATGATGCTTAATATTTTCATACTAATTTATTGTAATATAATAGGCCCAGTTCTGTTACACTGGCCCCAAAATTTATGAAATAACTTAATTACTTGCCAGTTGTGGAAACGAATTGTTTGTGAATTTGTACGTTCGGCATCATTCGGGTGAAAATCGAAACTCCTTCGGCTCGATACGTTTGCGTTTTGTACGTACGTAAAGGCACGTAAAGATACGTATCACGTATCCGTAAACGCAAGTGAATTTCTCACTGCGCAAGCGTACATGTCAAACGATACGTTTACGTCTTTGGCCGTGCTTTAACTGTCTATTACCACCTCACGTAAAGGAAATAACACCTGACCTTATTAACGTCCATGCACGCTATTCGGTTTAGCCATATCTCTCTATTACGCTGTTTATTGTTATTTTACGCGAGTTTATTTTTGCGCACAGGAAATTTGACTCGTTTGCACATCGTCATAAAAAACAATTTTCGTACCACGAATTAGGGACAAGATTTTTATCTGTATACTTATAGGATACCTAATCTGTGATACAACTGACTACCGCAAGCTGTTGCTAGGATGTTCCATTAATTTTAATTGTGTTTTTTAAATATTGTGAATGATCGTAACAGTGGCCGCTCGTGACCCTTGTTACTGGGTAGGCGACAACATTTTAGTTGCGTAATTTTCCCTATAGCTTGAATTTTTTTAAGTGCAAGCTAGAAACACTTGCATTTTTGGTAAAAATAAGTGGAATTGAGTGGGTGTTCGATAGTGGTCGCGCTATTAAAACTCTGAATTCAAAAATCGATATCACGAAATCTATTAGAAATAATAGATTGTAGTTTTTTCAAGAACTTTGTTAATTGCTGTGTTTTCTTTGTAGACAGTGTGTGAAAATGTTTATCAATAAAAAAAATTACACGATTGCTGAAAATTGCTATGCTCTAAAAGTAAATGGATGGATTGTTTACAATTTTTGAATGGAAAAACCTTATCGAATTTTTCTTATGTAAACATATTGTAAAATATCCGATCTTAAAAATAAAAAAAAAGTTTCAATATCTAAAGTGGTTCTTGAGTTATGGCCTGTTATGTGTTAAAAAGTTGAGATTTTAAATTATCGCGATTTCTGACGTTTTGATGTTATAAAATGACGTTATAAAAAAAATGACACCTTAAAGATATCCTTATAATTCCATTTCAGATGCTCAGAAACATGTCTAATGATTTTATCTAGTTATCTCTTGAAAAAAAAGTCTTTTAAAAATAAGCGGTTTGCGATCGTGATTTTACTTTACTTGATAGGGAAAGGCGTATCGGCAACGCCGCAACAGCACACCGTCGCGCGTCGCGTGGCTAAGGCTATCGCTTCGTGAGCGCATGGTCCGTGGTTCAAATCTCACGCCGACCAAGACTTTTTTATATTTTTTTTGCTTATAGCGTGATCTTATTGCATTGGTTTCACTCTTTTTGGTTGGATTGGTTTAGTTATTTGGCGGGTTGGTTAGCGTGGTTATTTGGAGGGTGTTAATTCATTGGTTAGTTGGTTATTTGGTGGGGTTGGTTGGTTTTTACTAATTTATATTTGTTTTTTATATTTTTTTTACCAGTGTCGAGGTTAGTTGCGTTGGTTAAGTTGGTTATTTGGTGGGGTGGATAGCGTTGGTTAGTCCTTATAAAATTCCTATATTTCATAAAGGCCGTCAAGTGCGTCACATCAACGACGTCACACCTATTAACGGCATTTTAGTAAGCTACCGTTTAACGGCAGTTTAAGTACAGCCTTAAAATAACAACTGACTTGAGTTAAAAATAACAGGTTTAAAGCTTGATTTTCATGCATCCGTTATCCGACGATACGATATTAATTGTATAGGTTGAATTTAAATACTTGATTTGGTTAGAAAATTACGCTGTTTAAATTTATTGCATTTTCATTACTCCGTTCATCGGATGTACGATTTGATTGTGATTGGTGTCATTTTATATTTTCATTTCCATAACGATTTCGCTGTTTTACTTATAGTCGAAGAGCTAGCAACGTTTTCGAGAGAGAATCTTAAGAATGCTGGTTCTTTAATACATCTTTTAGTACAAGAGCTAGCAACGTCGGAAAAACAAGTATTTTAAGACGTCTGGCTCTTTGATATATCTTTTACTATGATCTCTACAACAGCATGCGGTCCATCTGGCTGCCAGTAAACGTTGCGTTCCCTACTACGCATTGAAAGAAGATCCTATATTTTTATTAGTCCTTTAAATTCTAGTATTGAATATAAATCGAACATGTCTTCATAGCGCAGTGCGTAGAGTTTCCGACCACGAACCGATGATTCAGAGTTCGAATCCGGGTCAGGGCCAAAGACATTTTTATTTTATTTTCGTTTATATTGATTGTAAAAAGTCTTTGACCTGACCCGGATTCGAACTCTGAATCAACGGTTCGTGGTCGGAAACTCTACGCACTGCGCTACAGAGACATGTTCGATTTATATTCAATACTAGAATTTATAGGACTAAATTAATAAAAAATATAGGATCTTCTTCCGATGCGCAGTAGTGAACGCATCGGGTATCGGCAGCCACACGGGCCGTATGCTGTTCCAGAGAGCATAGTAAAAGATATATCAATGAGCCAGACGTCTTAAAATGCTTTCTCGAAAACGTTGCTAGCTCTTAGACTATTTTGTTATGCTCTCCTGAACAGAGTCTGGCTGCCGGCAGACGTTGCATTCACTGCTGCGCATCACAAATTCGCCCTCTATTTCAGGAACAAAGGAGGCTAGGACAAATCTATTTGTAGCATATTTAGTTTCATAAAAAAGTAGCCAAGTAATGTGAAAATCGCATCATTGTATCTCTACTCATAAACGAGAAATCCTATAAAACACACGAAAATGGGATACCCTGTACAGATGTGATGCGCAGTAATGAACCGCAGTAGTCTACCGGCAACCAGATTTCCCGCACTTTATTATTAATAACCTTATGGGCGATTTCGTGGCACAAAACCTGTCCGAGATGTAGCTGGCGTTACCGTCAGCCTGTCCGAGAATTCCGAGATTTAGTTTAGCTCCGAGCCGCTGCGCGCTGATAGTCGTTTACAGCGCAGCGGATAAAGAATACTGTACTTCGTAACCGTAGTTCTGCTTTCAGTCGATAGAAGAGTGGTTGCCGGAGACAGTGTTGCCAGAACTACTAATTAATCCGTAGATTTACGGATTTTGAGTACAGTACGTTAATAATACGGATTTTCTATCATTAAACAATTTATTATAACATTATATGATTAAACAAAGAACAGCGTCAGAGTTGGCTTGGAAATAAAGATCACTGTTATTTTATAATGTACAATATTATGGTAAATGTCAATAATCGTCATTTCCAAAAGAACTAAACGACTTTTTTCGATCATACGATATATTTAATATTTATAAAATAATTTTTCTTTTTGTGGTAGTGAGGTACCCCAATTAGCCTATTCGATTGGGATGCGAATCTGTTTAGCGGCAGATTTGCGTCCGGGGGAAGCCCCTATACTATTTCAGGTGACACTAGCTAGTTGTTGAAGATTATTAACCAATAGATCCGAATAATATTTGAATTAGATGGAAGATATGGAATGGGATATATTGAATAGAATGTCAGTGATGTCAGTGGCTTAAAAAACATAGTACTTTTCTAGGCCTGAGCTGCGCGCTGTGAAAGGCTGGAAACCCTCATCACACCTGACGATTTTGGCTCGGCATAGGCCACGTAAAAAGCGACATCTCAGTATCGCTACCGATCGCTATTCAGTTACAGAGTTCCACCCCGGCTCTTGATATAACCCCTGCTTAAGCGCGATAATCGCGATATAACGTTTACCTGCTGCCAGACGCGTTCCAGTGGTTGGCTAGCAACGATATAATAAAGAGCTTCTTAAAAACAGCCCCGGACGCTCGTAAGCCTATATCGATTACATCACAATTACCCCACAATGACCCAAGATAGTCCCTTATCCCTGACATACTTCCGACATGTTTGATTGGGCAACAGTCTTAACCAACAAGTCTTTCAGCTGAGAAACAGCTCGAAACCCGAATGTGACCTGAGTCGTGAGCTGAGCCTGACTGCGTGGCACCCCTGTGTAGCAGAAGTTGCCGCATGGGATCATTTCTCGAGGCCTGACGAAATGATATTCATGCTGGGCCATTATGAATGAGTCCACAAAATCCAGGTACAGACGGTTTTTTAATCAACCAGTGCGGCCCATCGGGAAGGGCCTCTGCCCGCATTTATATGTTTTAGCAGTCTCTGTAATTTCAAGATTACTCACCAACAATTCAGGATGGAGGGCCTGGTGACCAAGGAGACGAAAAGAACGAGCTGTGAAACACCATGTTTTACTATATCAGTCTCCTTACATTGCGAGATTTTTGTTCGATTTTCGTTTGCTCTCGTACTGGAGACTTTCATGCCCTGTTTCGAGCTGGTAAGATTGTAACAGAGTTTAGAACGTTGTTGGCAGCACACGCCATACACACTGCGCCAACAACTTGTTCTAAAATATACGAACAAAACATAGACACTTTGATCTTTACCGACTCGAGACGGGATATTGAAAAGTCTCCGAATTTTGAAACAAAACAAAAATCAGACAAAAATCTCGCAGAAATGTATAGGATTTGTCGCAATTTTGTCGTAAAACATGAATGTTTCTGTCGTGTCGTTGCTTTGTCTGCTTGGTCTGGACCCGCGGCATTACTGTTTATCATGCTAAATTTGACAATTAAATATTTAAATTACAGAATACTTAAAACATATAAATGCGGTACGGAATACCGCTACGCGCCCGGTCGTGTGAATCTAAAGTACGCACCTGCCGGACGGTTAAAGAAATAGGTACATTAAAATACGTCTAATACTTACCGTTTTGTAGTGTTTCATTCAAATATGAAGCATTATTAACAGCATGGGCCCATGTGATTTTCGTCAAATTTCCTTTGCTCTCGGGAAAATAAGTGTCCGTGTCCAATCCCATCACTGTCACAGCGAAAAAAGCTGCAAAAATACCACAAATTACCACACGATCAAACATTTTCGACAAATTATATTTATTCCAGGTTTCGAGCTTAACCCTCTGGTCGAATCAAGCCAGTAATGAAGATAACAAGGCTTGTAGCGCTCTATAACGTTTATTTTCTGTTAAGATTAGTTTGTTTGCCCAATCAGCAAATCAAATCAGGTACAGATAGCATATGTCGGGCTCGTAATAATCGGGGATATAAATACTGGGGATTATCAACACGGGATATTTGTGAATTGGTTGTGATAAAAAGTTATGATAACATATAATCGAATATATAATTCGTTGTAGGTACGAGAGCTAGCAACGTCGGGAAAACAAGTATTTTAAGAAAGCTGGCTCTTTAATATATCGTTTACTATGCTCACTGGAACAGCATGCGGCCCGTCTGGCTGCCGGTAAACGTTATATCCTTGATTATGTATATAAACAAGGGTTATATCAAAGAGCCAGGGGTGGAACTCTGTAACGAAATAGCGATCGGTAGCGATGCAGGATATTGTCGCTTGCCATTTATTTTGTACGGCCAAGGTCAGTATTCTTCATCGCTACTGATCGTTATTTAGTTAGAGTTCCAGCCCAGCTTTCTTAAAATACTTTCACGAAAACGTTGCGAGCTCTTAGACTAGATTGTGTTTATAGAAAATATGTTTTTCTTTGAATTCTCCGATATAAACTGAATTCAGAATTGTTTTCTTGGAAGTTACTATTGCCTCCATACAGTCTATATCGCATTACATCCACTGATTGCGTTTAAAAAAGACAAGAAAGTAGAATATTAAGGAGGAGGGTTAGTCATTATCATACACTCTCAGGGCTTTAACAAAAGATACGTATCTGAGACGGCTCCAAAGAGGCCAACTCTCCAAATCAGCCGTACCAAAGTTCAATGCACGAACGGTCGTCGTCTCGGCGCACTCAGTGATAAGGTGTCTGGTGTTTCCCCATTTTCTCCACAGAATCTGCATTCGCTATTGTTTCTCAGCTTCATCCTACTGAAGTGTTCGTCGAGGAGACAATGTACTGTTAGAAACCTCGTGACAATCCCAAGATTGTTTTTACTTAAATCAAGGAAAATCTTTGATTTTTCTCTGTCGTAAGTTCTGAGGAACTTTTTCGAGTATCTTAGACCGAGGGCTCCTATTCCAAGTTACGGTTTCCGCTTAGAAAGCAGAACGTTTCTGGTTCAATTAGTGGAGTGTTCGCTCCTTTTCTAGCTAGATCATTTAATTTTTCATTTCTTTCTATCCCTTGGTGAGAGGGCACCCAGAGTAGGAGGAGTTTATTTTCCTTAGCAAATTTGTTCTGCTTGTCTAGGCATTCTTTGACTAACTTCGAATTGATGGTTACTGAGTTAATTGCGTTTAGTGCTGCTGACAAACAAAAAAAAAGACAAACCGTCATAGTAATGCATTTAGTAAAAATTAACCAAAATAATTCACTCAAATGCAAAAAAAGTCTCAGTCAAAAGACAAGTGTTATATTTTTTTTAGTTCAAGCCCTATTTTCATGAAATTTTTAGCAAACTGTATAAAAATCTACCTACTTTAATTCATAAACTCAGTTTTTTGTAAACTTTAGTATTTGGCTTATTATACAGGGTTGAACATTATACAATTGAAGGGTTGTTTTTTACCCTAACTTCAAAATACCCTGTGCAATAATTTCGTGAGTGACTTTTCCTAAAACATTATTTTTCTGTCAGGACCATGTCTCCTGAACATTTTATTTTTTGACTCATGTCAACATATACCTTGGTTAATTTTTAAGAGCGAAATGAACTTGCCATTAAAAATTTCCAATTATTAATCGTTACTTCTTGATGTTATTCATTATAATGACGAGGTGGCTTTGGTGATTATTATTTAGTGTCGATCGATTGATTTATACCGGGATTTCCCGGTACCGAAAAAAACCCTAAGAGTACTTTGGGATGATGAGTTATTGTGTACCCCTTTGTTATACAGGGTGTCCCAGAAATAAGTATAAGTATTTTAATGGGTGGTAGATCAGGTCAAAAGAAACATTTTTTCTCTTTACCGTTTTTAAATAAAGCCAAAAAGAGTTATTTTACTTTGAAAATTTTCAAAAAAAAATGGAGCCGGGAGGCACGTATAGCCGCCCATACTAAAATATGTTAATATCTCGAAAACTGCGACTTTGACTGATTTTGATGTTATTACAAATCTTGTTGCAAATATTATTACTAATCTTAATTTGAAAACCGCGTTTCGCTAGCTACTATAATTTTGGAGTTACGATAATTTTAAATTTTTAACCCCCTCCCATACCCCCTTACAAACCCCCCACCCCCACCAAAAACTAAAGGCCAGATTCTCGGGTGCCACAGTATTTTTGTGCCAAATTTGGTTAAAATCGGTTTAGCGGTTTTTGAGTTATCGTGTTACAGACGGCAGACAGACAGACAGACACCATGAAAATATTTTGTATTTAGGTCATTTATGACCCAAATAACTCATTTTGAGTGAAATTAAAAAAACTTTTTTTTTGCCGATCTTAATAGCCTACCATACCTATTGGTTTGGTTTGTTGGGCCAAATCCGTTGTTTTAGACCTATTTTCCAGCTCCTAAGCCCTTTGACGTTCTCGAGTCATCTGTATACCAAGTTATCTCAGCTTGGAAATATTGAAATATTTGGAGTTAAAAGGGAATAAAATTCCAATATTTACATTATTAATATTTAATTACTTAATGTTTTTGTAAGATAAAAAATTGTCCTTTGCACCAAAACTATTCTGAGTATTTTTCAAATAGTTATGTACCTAATCATTGGCATACTTTTAGGTATGCACTTTACAACATTTACTTAAAGAGGTTAAAAGCAATTAGATAAAATTCGTCATTGAAAAAATAGATAGTTTATATTATCATCTATCAAGTGGTACTAAATGTTAATCATCATGAGATACATTTTCATACATAATATGTATAGTCAATATTCAGTTTATTTTGACTATACATATATAAGATTTGATATGTTTTTCTTTATATTTAAATATAGGAATAACAAGTATAGCCAACTAGTACCCCGAAAAGAAATTCTAATAAATAATAGAACACTGGAAATAGTAGAAGAATATAATATATTTATATCATTACGAATAATATTCTGTATGATCAAAAAAAAAAACAGCGCAAAGTTGGCTCGGATGTGATGCTGCTTTTTGAACAAAGCGTCACAATATTACATTTAAAATAAGAAAATTGTTGTCAACTTCCGCTATTTCCGGAAGTGCCGCCGCGGCCGTATTGCAAATATTTTTAATCGATAGATCTCGTTGTGAAGCTATGATGTGCAAAAAATATCGGAGCTGGATGTTGTAGTTCTCTAGAAACTTCTAATGCACGCTCAGCCTGGGATACCCTGTATATTTGGGACAATTAATACACACATCTCAGGACCTGTACCACTAGAAATCAACAGAAAAATTAAATTTGCTCTGAGAACATATTTGGAAGAAACTCAATCATAGTCAAATCTAAAATGGCATTTTAACCAAAGAAGAAAACATTCGACGAATGTGTCCTACCAGTCATGACCTATGCCAAAGATAATTCTACTACTTGTGTTAACTATAATATTCTTTGCCTATGCATGCGAAACCTGGACACTCAAAACGGACAATATAAGAAAACCGCAGGTCGCACAACTCCCGATGGAAGGAAATGCTGAAAATAACCAAGAAAGACCGTAAAATTGAAGTGGATACCATAAAAAAACCAGGTTACCCCAGTTAATATATGTCATCTACAGAATCAAATCCCTCAAGTGGCAATGGGTACGACACCTGGCAAGAAGGACGGACCACAGATGGAACACAAAAATTATAGCATGATACCCACGAGAAAATTAAAAGGAATAACATGGATAGCCAAGAATAGACAATAATGGGCAAATTTACAAGAGATTATCTAAATGTGTGAGGGAGGCTACACATGGTGTAGCCTCCCTCACACATTTAGATAATCTGGAATTTTGGAATTGGTTGAATAAGCTGAAAATGATGTTGTTAGTAGTAAAAATCACTTTGGTATTTGTCTCAGTCCACTTTTTTGGCAAGAACTCTTGAGTATCATGATAATTTACCATGGCCAAAACCATACAATATCTAAAAAAAAATAATACAAAAATAATGACACGGCATAAAATAAGTTGCTAAGTAGCAGTATTGTTTTGCCTGATTTGTTACAAAATTTTAATTTATCATTTAAGCAAAATGCAATTCATTAGTGACTTTAATGCTTCATTCAGAACCTCGAAATCAGTGGAATAAATTAGTAGTTTCAATTAGCCGTAGAAGTTTGTTCACCTAATTTTAATGTAAGCATTCACAACGTCATAATTAGTGGTAGTAATTCTCAATTATTGGAAAAAGTTAACAAACTTTTGACTTTTCCACTAATTATACTTCAAAATTTGCGAGGAATGTCATTTTGACCTTTGATTATCACCCGTCAAGAAACATTTTGGTTAGAAATCAAAAGTTGACTGCTGATAAGCTAAATATTATGCGTTCTCTATGGATACAACAGACTACCGCAAATTGTTTCTAGGATATTTTACTAATTTTAATTGTGTTTTTTATAGAATAATCGTAAACTAAAAAGTATACAGTGTAATTGAAACCACTAATTTATTCCACTAATTGGGAGGTTCAGAATGAAGCTTAAAACAAAAACATATATGTAGAGAAAATTTATCTTAGAATTTTACTCTAGTTTAATCGATTGTCTTTTATTTGAAGTTCTTGTCAAACAATTCCATTTACAACATAAACAAAATTAAAAAATTATCAGAAGAACCAGATACATATTTTCAAGGCAAGGCGATAGTTTTTAATATACCGGGTGAGAACAAAATCATTGCACAGACTTACATACTTTTCATTGATTTTTATCGAATCATTTTGAAACTTGTATCTTAAATATTGTACAAAATATTGTTACTACATT